GAGCTAAGCGCAACAACACAATGGGGGCTAAAGTCGAACTCAGGCAAATCTGGGTGGCACTGCTGGATCCCAAGTCCTATGTTTTCGCGCTCGTTCAAGCTGCAGTCGGCTTAGGCGTGTCATCCGTTGGGAATTTCCTACCCACTCTTGTGGCCGACTTTGGATATTCAAATGGTACGGCTTACCTTGCATGCTAGCCTCATCCGACCCACACTGATGATGTTGAAACTACAGACCAGGCACAGCTTTTCACTGCCATACCTTATGTCTGCGCTGCAGTGACCACTGTTGGCATGAGCTATATCTCGGATCGCCTGAATCGCAAGGGAGCGGTGCTGATTTTCACACTCGGCATAACTAGCACTGGGTACATAATTCTACTATCGGTGAACAATGTCCCGGTCAAAGTATTTGCCACATGTCTGCTTACCATGGGACTGTACCCCAGCGCCACTATCAACGCAGCCTGGGCAGGGATCAACATTGGAGGCTTCACCAAACGAGGGAGTACCTGGGCCCTGGCTGAGATCTTTGCTCAAGTCTTCTCCATTATGGGCACGCACGTGTACGACTCACCACCCCGTTTCATCAAGGGACATGCCATCTGCTTAGGATTTTGCCTTAATGCAATCCTGTGCATTTTGCTGGGCATGTGGTGGATGAATCGTGCGAACAAGATGAAAGATCAGGAAAGGGGAGAATTCCAGGCACGCCAGGAGCCACACCCTCACGACGAGAAAACTCTCGAGGATGTTTTTGATTATCATATAGCTTTCAGGTATACTCTATAGTCGACAACTTCGAGGTCCAGAGTGTCACAAATAGCTACCTCAGGAGCCCTACCCTCTGCACCAGAATCAGATGGGTGAAGTAGGGCAGGCGAACATAGTGCTATAGACAAGGCTGTCAGGAGACAAGGCTGATGTACATAAGGCTATCAGGATAACCTACCTATAAGAATCTTCTGGCTCTTAATTTAGGCCATAGCGACTTCTCTTCGCTTCCCAAGCTATCAACATCCTAAAACCAGCAGTGGACAAAGCAGTCCAATTTCTTGGCCCACAACATCATGAGACAATTCAATTCATCCAAATATTAGACACATACTACCAGAAAATGGGAGCGGTGCCGGAATACGAAGACACAACATAACTTGTACTCGATCAGCTTCAGGAGTTTAGGCTTGGCCGAAAAGGGCTCGTCATTAACAGTTGTGCCACAACCTTTCAGCTCAGGGAGACTGTCAGCCACATCATCGGCTTCATTCTTAGTCTATCCTTACGTTGGCTCTTCCTTTCGTCTCCGCAGGCTCATTCAGCTTCCTTCTCCTCATACTCGAAGACTGTTCGCAGAGTTGTGCACGACAAGATTGATCGAGAACTCAGACTAACAATTGCTAACAGAGTCGAAGGAGCATCAACTTGAAGTTCTTGGCCGATTCAAGCCCAGGATACGGGTAATGGCACAAGATCGCGACTCTAGCAATTGGAGAGCGAAAGTTTGGGTCTTACAGGAGACGATCGAAAATCTCGAAAAAGCCAATGGCACTCGCAAAAACCAAGTTGCTTATCGAAGATGCCATCAACTGAACGTAAAGTGCGAGCCCAGGCGACGTCGGCCTAGATCTGGCAATCGGCGCATCAGCAGGAAGGAAGAGAGAAAATGCTAGCTTTCTTCCTTGTCTTGAAGTTGCGCGGCTATCCGCGAGGCTGCGACGCAGTGCGCGAGTGGTAACTTGGAGCGACTTCGCCAAGTCCATCCCGGTAGGCCAGCCGCTGCCATCAGCCTGCCCGCCGGCCGGCCACCGGTGCTGCGCGCCCAACGAATTGTCGGCTTGTGAATTCGGTCCAACGCAAGTTACAAGAAAATTCCCCTCCGAATAAAACCGTCTCAGCAGTAATAGCAAGAATAAATAAGTCACTATCGGAAACTGAGCACGTGGCTCCGTACCTTTCGCTGAAGAATATTTGGCCGAGGGATGTAATTAGACGACTAGGCGGTTTACAGACTAGCCCGTCTCATAGTATCAACCTCCACAAAGTAATCGCGTGCAGGAGGCCAAGATCAGCCCGCGGAAATCCCGAAGGTCAGGGGGAAAGAATATGCAGGATCCCCTCGAGTAGCAAGTCCTGTATGACCATATCCGATCTTTGAATCGGGACGAACAGACCTTGCATCGGAAGAGGCACGAGGCTTGGGTGAGACGCTTCTATCCAAGCAAATGGTGCTACCTCAGGAGGCTCCCAAGGACAGATTGATGCTGCGTGAATCCCCTCCGACTGAGAAATCAGTCAAACTCCGTACGGGACTATGTGTTGTAGCTTTTGGACTTCTCGAACAGCCCAAATATTGGGATCAGAAACGCGAATAATGGAGCCAGATCCAAATCAAGCTCTCAGTAAAGCATCCTTCCTCGGATGTGGCACACTGGTGAGCTTTCTGATGTGGACAAGGGTGCGTCCTCCATCGGATATGGCCATCTCTTGTTTCGACCCCGGACATCCCGTCTATACCCCATGCCTGCAAATCTCCTGATGATATATAAATCTGGGGATGATTCAACCTGTGGATTCTCCTTTTCCAAGCTCAGCTGACAGTGTTTGCTCACGGCTCATTTTCATGCAATTCTCATCTGACAAGTCGTTTGCCACCAGCGTCTCCTTGATATCTATCAATCATCACCATGTCCCAGGAACAGGTTGAGAGCGACCCTATCGAAGTTCATTACAGCGCAGCACCCGGCACCGAAATCCTCTACGATGTTGCAGAGGATGGAACCGGGTCCAACAAGCTACATCACCTCCAGCACGTCAAATCTGGGGATGGCCATCTTCTCTTGGTACCGCAACCGTCTCTGACAGATCCCAACGATCCTTTGCGCTGGTCTACCACCAAAAAGTGGGCGGCATTTCTGAATGCCCTGGGTTTCTCTTTCATGGGAAGTGTGACAGGCCCAATCATGACAGGATGTCAGTTCATCTTTCCAAGCTGCAGACCCTAGTTCGACTGACGTCCTTCAGGGATGGTGGAAGCAGCAGCATTCTACAATACCTCTATACAGAGGATGTCCTATACAGTTGGTGCAACATTGATATGCCAGGGATGTGCAACAGCTCTTTGGATGTGAGGAAGAACCCCTGAATAAATACCTCTCCGATGCTGACTATTGTGGAAGGCCATTTGCAGTCAAATTCGGTCGTCGACCCGTCTACCTATTCTCAAACTTGTTGATGGGTGTCGCCTGTATATGGCTTGCGAAAGCTAGCAAAACTACCTATACGTCGTTCCTAGTTGGTCGTGCCTTCCTTGGTGTCTTCGAAGCTCCCATGGAATCTATTGTCCCGAGCACCGTCACAGATATCTTCTTCTTACACGACCGAGGAGCTAAAGTCTCCTACTACGGCCTTTCAGTTCTTGGAGGCAACGAACTCGGACCAATGCTCTCGGCGCTAATTATTCAAAGTCTCGGAATGGCTTGGGCGTTCTATATTGTGGCAATTTTTATTTTTGCAAATGTTGTCTCACAGTTCTTCTTCATGCCAGAAACAATGTACCTTGGCACCCGTCCGTCGCTGGAGTTACAAGAAGACACTCCGGACGAGGGAGGAGTTAAAGGACATCTTTCTGCTCACATCGAAGTCCACGAAGCTGGCAGCGCTCCTGTGCCAAAAAAGACATTTCTACAGGAACTGTCGTTCTGGGGTGTAAACGATCGCAGGGTCTCACTATGGCAAGCCTTCGCGAGACCCTTTGTTCTGCTCGCTTACCCGACAGTTGTATGGTCCTGCTGCTGCTACGGCCTGGCACTGAGTTGGAACGTCATTCTGGCCACCACCAACGGACAATTGTTCTCACCTCCGTGAGTCTTGGTCACCTTTCAGATGTTGTTCTCAGAAGCAGGCTCTAACACTTAAACACAGGCCTTACTCATTCAGTCCAGCTGCGCAGGGTCTTGTCTTTGGCGGACCCTTGGTCGGCTCTCTAGTCGGTACTTATCTTTGCGGTCCAGTGGCCGATAGAATTGCCAACTACTTCACTCGCCGCAACCACGGTATCAGAGAACCTGAAATGCGTCTTCCGACCTGCGTTATTGCTGCTGCGTTGACAGCCATCGGCGCCATTGTCTCGGCTCTGTGCTTCCATTACAAAACTCATTGGATTGGTCCTATTATGGGCTACGCCATTTTAAGCGCTGGTGGTCAGATGGGCTCTACCCTTGCCATGAGTTATGCTTTGGATTGCCACAAGGAGCTAAGTGTCGAACTCATGGTAACCATTGCGTCCTTAAAAAGCGCGGTGGCTTGGACCTGGACCTGGGTTGTTAATGATTTTCTAGTCAGAAACGGCCCGCTAGTGGTTCTTTTGGTGGTCATGGCAGTCAACTTGGCTGTCTACGCATCAGCATTCATCCTGTACCGCTATGGAAAGGGCATCAGAATTTGGCTGCATCACAAGAACCTTTTGCGTGCTTGTGGACTTGCCTGAAAGTCCTGCGGAAAATAACGATTTGCGTATGTCGAGATGTTGGGGATTCGTGTCGCGGGTCGTCAGCGGGTATATAGTTGAGACTACTTTTATGATTAAGGAGTGCCTGATTTCACTCCCTGCATCATTTAAGTCTTGACAGGCTGTACAGTAGAATTTCCTGTACGAAAGCCTCTGTCTAGTGGCGCGGTTTGAGTCCCACCCATCGCGCGAGACGCTGGCTGTGTTCATGGTGGGGGAATTGTGCCATTGTCATGCGGAAGGCATCCACGATTTGACCTGTACACTCTTACTGATCTAGTTCCTCATAACTAGTCCGCTCGACTATAAGAAACCATGTTAAATCTAAGGCTGCTTTACTGCCTAAAATGTAAGAGAAATATATTTCTACAGTATAAGCCTTTAGAGTCTCCTGTGAGCTTGCCAGACGGGTTTCAAACATAATCAACGACGTGAGACGTGCCCATGCTGAGTACGCTGAACACATTCTCTGCAAGTTCTTCTCACATCTGAGGGGGCGATACATCCAAGTCCGGACTTCTCGCTAACTTATCGAAAGCGATGGTGGAGCAGGCCTGCCTTCAGTTAACCGCTTCAGTTAACCGATCTTGTGCGCGGTCCTGACGGCTCAAGAACCTTCGACAGTGCACACATTGAAAACATCTCCCAGAATTCCGTTTGGGTTTTCCTGGAATCTTGTCGACATTCACATAAGCCTGTTGTAATCAATCCGGGAATCTGCATACAACAAATGCTTCTCGCTAGGAAGATGAGCAGAGTTGAGGAGTACTGTCGAGTTCCGTATGGCTAATAAAAGGTATAATCGATGCTCGGATATCGGACAAGTCAGTACAAGCCAACACGTTCTCTTCCATAAATTCAAATTGTCATGTCGAGACATTCACAGATCGCTCAAAATCCTACCCTGTCCCTGTGCTAAAACCATCGTCGAACCCAAAGCCTTGATCATCCCATCCGACACCAGACCATGTATTGTCTATTAGGAAATTGAGCCCCTCTGCTTGATCACAGCCATGGTAGAGCGCATTGTAGAGGTCAGCCTGCAGCCCTCCGAGCGACATCGGAGACGTGTCTTTCGTGGCGTCTGTTGCTGCCTCATTTCCATCAACAGCCGATACTCCCATTGGCACAGAAATGTCTCGCGATGGTGAGGGATATGAGGCTGACAAGTTCTTAAATAAGTCGGTCACATATGGTGTTGCAGTCGATGCCATCGACAAACGGTTAGGATGTTGCCGCGACGTGTCCGATATTTGCGAATTGATGCTTCCGGGATGCGATGTTTCTGGTCGAATACCCCAAGGACTATCTTCGTTGTATTGTCGGGGCGTTTTCTCTATAGTGTGTGGACCCGGGTGAGTGGAAAGTGATGATGCAGCACTGGAGACAACTTTTCGAAGCCTTTTCGCTCTCCATTTCTCGAGGAATCGTGACACATGTTCCGCACAGCGCCTAGAGGCTTTAAGCTCAATTTGTTGGAGGATTTGAACACTCATCTCGCATAGATGCAAGTCATCCTCGATGGAGCGTGACAAACCCAGTCCTGATGCGTCGTGGCCTGTCGATAGATAGTTAGGAGCATGAGGATCCTGGTGACAACTAGCCGAATTGTCATTAGTGATATTTGTAAGAAGTACCAGAGTAGCCTGAAGGCAGTAAAAGCAGTAGTAACTCCATCGCCTTAGACTGGGTGCAAGACGGAAGAGCTCGTGCACGTGCTGTATCATATCGCGAGCCGCACGGATGCATATTGCTGCCTGGTTTGTAGATGCATCTGCGATATTATGCCCATCCGGTCTTTTACTGGGTTTGGGCAACGATTTTCGAAGCAATATGATCACTGCGAGATTGTAGTCTAGCAAAATGTTAGTGGCTTTTGAACGACGGTATGCCCTACGAACGGGCGAAAGATCAATGATGCACTGCCGCTTGGTTGTTCTGGACTCACGTATTCGTAAGCTGCTTTGCTGTCTGGCTTCCCAGCAGGTTGGCGAAAAGCCTGGATTGCTATTGAAATCATGCTCGGGACTGTCGAAGCGAAGATAGGTAGGAAGTTCGGCACGCCATGCTTCCAGGTGGCAGAGCAATGCAATCGTCTCGGCAGCCGCCTTTGAGTTATGCTGGTCTCCCGCATCGTCGGCCTGAGCAAGGTGCCGTTAGTCGCTTGCTTGATTAAATCGAAACCAGATAGCGGAGTAGATACCAGCTGAAGCACCATCTGAATGATCTTTGCTATCTCTGCTAGCAACGGGATAAATGCTACTTGATTATGGCAAGGCCTAATATGTTTTCCGACAGTCGACTACCCGAAAGTCAGCCTTGGGAATGCAGACAAATGGACGTTACAACTATACCTCAATGGTAGGATATTTGACCGTCATATCCGACATGCGGACTGACATTGGCCTGCCAGAATCAAGACTCAATTCCACCTCTTGGATAAAGATCAACCACCAGGTACGCCGTGCTTCCTCAGCGTCAAATCGGGGATTTGCAGGGACTGATTCAATATGAATGCCAATGGAGAATGCCAAACGAGCTGCAAGCCCATTAAGCACGTATGCGACTGTGACGATTTGTGTTAGAAGACTGTTTCTTTGACAAGAATGATTAACTGCTCACGGTTAGGCTTAATGGCATGCTGTGCGTAAGCGCCCTATGTGAACGGTCAGTATATCTAAGGGCTGTCCAGGGGTATGGGCCACCCAAACCATAAGCATCGCCGCTTGGACCAATTGAATATCAATCGCATCTAGGTACCGGCCAAGTATTTCCTGAGCTTGCACAAAATACCATGATGCCCATGAAGAACTGTCGTCTTTTTCATCTTCATACAATGCTCCGAGGGCGAGGACAGCATATAAGAGAGAGACAAATTGCGGCTGATTCTGGTGGCTCAACTTTGGGGTGAAGAGGCGATTATCTCCGAATAGTGGCCGCACTGCATGGTATCTCTCTCTGAACCTATCTTCGTCGAAAACTGGAAGGAAAATGTGGATTGTCTTGAAGAAGTTGTCAAGGTGCCTATCAGCCACATCTTCCCGTAGACTATGATGATGGTGCAACTCGGTTGGAGGGACGACATAGTCGCAGAAACTGGTGACTTCATATAGATCAAGTTCTCTCATATCTTTCGTGCTTGTGCCGGGGATGCGTCGACAAAGATCACCGCGGCGAAGTTTTGAAGGCTGACAATCGCTGGAAATTTCTTCCAGCTGCCGAACTCGCTTCCCCAATGATGAAGCCACCACAAATGCAGATGTACCGCCGTAGTACTCAACACATCCGCTCTGCGGATTCAGTTGTGCAAGTCCACCTCTTCTTTTCTGTGCCGGGAGGATTTTGGCATTGTGACCATTCCAGAGTTGTGCATTTTGATTCAACGCTTCTTCTACCCGACTAAGACGTGACAAGACGAGATCTAGCTTCTCTGATAAAGCTTCATTTCCGCTAGTCGAGGCGAAACTGTAGGTGCACTGAAAGTCCTTTTTCAAGCACTGATCACATGGCTGGATGCCATTGCATTTGACTCTTCTCTCACGACACTTCTCGCAAGCTCCGGGCGTCTTTTTACGGACAGCATTGAGTCCCTGAGAAGCAGATAGCGTCATAGAAGCCGTGCTTTGGTCCATTGATCGAGAGGTAGGAAGGAAGTCTCGAGAGCGGGAGGAGGCAAGGGCAGGTATCAGGCCGCAGAAGCATCGATCGACCAGGAGGAGCGCCGAGGACCATCAGGGAGACTTGCCAACACGGAAGATGATCGGGGAATGATCTAGTACGTTAGTCCTATCAGTCATGGTTCCTTAGAGCCGTAGTACCAAGGTTGGGCTGTCTCGTATCGCAAATGAGTGTGGTGAACGCAGCTTGGATTCAGCAAGATAGCTCTACTGCTTTGGGGTATCACGTGTTGCGGGGTGTCACGTGCTGTGGGGTGTACGGAGTACCAATGCTGCCGAGATTCCTCCAACGAGCTCATTGATAGACACCACCCCACAGTACGGATGTCTGGAAACAGCGTACATCAATCAACTTTATCCTCGTGAAATTACTCGCACGATAAACGCTTCCAGTCCAGATTTTTAGTCCCGCAGAGTGCTTACAGTTGTAAGACGCTGCATGCGAGGAGTTCGTGGGACTGTTTGGTTCTTCCTCATTAATATCTGGCGGGATTGTTTGCACTATCGGGACGAGCTGCTAGCGTGACTCGAGCACGGCGAGTGGAACCCGGAATTTCCGCGAGCCAACCATGATGCTGTAATTTTCGATCTCCTGGGACAGAAGAGTCCCATTGCAATACGACTATGGGCTAGCTCACCTCACAGGGGAGCCAAGGACCTCAGGACACCAACTTTGGCTCTTCTGAGATCTAGATGACTTTTGGACCCCACATTCGTTGAAGACGACCATGTGGCTATGCTAATGGGACTTCCGCGAAACGACGTTGTCCTTGATGTCCCTTATAGGTGAGACCCAGGGAGGACTTTATAAGGCGCACACGATGAGGTGAAGCCTGGACTCTGTCTATCCTTCACACTTTGATAGTGTTTGGCACTGGAGATCACAATTTGTTCCGCAGTCCTTCAATGATCCTTGTTCTATAACAATGCCGTCCTCAACCACCTCATATGTCGATGTGCTCCTCATTGGTGCCGGGCCATCGGGACTTATGTTGGCGACTTGGCTGGCTCGTACCGGCGTCAAAACTCGAATTGTTGACAAGCGCTTCGAGCTGCTAAATAGCGGGTACGAACGACAATAGTCCCACGAGCCACCGCTAGGAACATGCCTAACTAGGATGCAGTCAAGCCGATGGTCTGCAGAGCAGGACATTTGAGGTTGGCTACGTCCGACACAAGCACATTAAAAAAATTGCTGAGAATACCTTCAGATATTTGACTCTCTGGGTTTTGGTCAACAAATCTGGGCGGAAGCAAATCATATGTTGGAAATCCGGTTCTGGGTGAGATGAAAACTGCACTCTTCGCATGATCGTACGATACTTACATTAGCTCAGAACCCCGACAAGGATGGTAAACTCTCCAGAACTGATCGTATGGTGGACACAATGCCAGGCCTCAGCCGTTTTCAACAAGCTACACTTCATCAAGGTATTTCCTGGGCCTCACTTCGAGACGAGAGACTGATTGGTTTCCTGCGCATCAGCACGCATCGAAGATTACCTGCTCCGCTATATACGGAAATACAGCAACATCGAGACTGAATATCATATCATGCCAGAGTTTTTGAGTGTCGATACTGATCAAGTCGAGGACGATGGAGCGTATCCCATCAAGGTAATCCTCAGACATCTCGCGAAACCGCCAGCCGTGTCCAATGGGACTTCCGAGAGCCAAACGGCAATTCCCAACGGAATGTTTCGGAGCAACCTCGTGGCCGATGTCACGGATAAAGTCCTCGATGAGGCAAAAGCGGACACTGAGTCATACACAGAAGTAGTGCGGGCAAAATATGTGGTGGGAACTGATGGGGCGCACTCTTGGACGCGCCGTCAAATAGGAAGCATAATGGAGGGCGAGCAAACAGATTTTGTCTGGTAAGATAGCTTTACCTCCCCCAAGTACGTTTTGCTCTAACGCACATGGCAAGGGGTGTCCTGGACATCATTCCCATAACAGATTTCCGTTAGTACACACGCCCGTCACATGAATACGGAACCTGACATTTCTCACAGCTGATATAAGATACCGCTGTGCTGTACACTCAGCATTTGGCAGTATCATGATCATCCCTAGGGAAGACAAGTTTGTCAGACTGTATATCCAGGTTACTGAGGTTGGTGAAGACGGTAAAGCTGTAGGTGTCTGCTCATTCAAACTCGGCCATCTAATGCTTACATGATATCTAGATCGACCGCTTCAAAATCACCCCGCAAACCCTTATTGAGGCAGCCGCAAAAATCCTTTCGCCCTACAAGCTGACTTATAAACACTGCCACTGGTGGACAGCTTATAGAATTGGACAGAGGGTGGGGTCTAAGTTCTCTGCACACAACAGGGTATTTCTAGCGGGTGATGCTGTCCACACGCACAGTCCGAAAGCCGGTCAAGGCATGAACATCAGCATGCATGACTGTGAGTCCACTCATACCAGGCAATATTTCGAGCAGCAAGCTGATTGCTCCTCACACAGCCTTCAACCTAGGGTGGAAACTCTCTTCGGTCATCAAGGGCAGAGCAAAACGATCGCTTCTCGACACGTACGGTCTCGAGCGACGACAAATCGCACAGGAGCTCATCGCCTTTGACCAGCAATTCTCCCGCCTGTTCTCGGGACGACCCACTTCAGAAGTTGCAGACGAAAGTGGCGTGAATCTCAAAACATTCAAGGAGGTCTTCGAGAAAGGAAATCTCTTCGCCAGCGGTTGCGCGGTCGATTATGTCACTAATTTGATCGTGGCCAAGTCTAGAGAGCACAAAAACCGGATTGGTGCTCACTTTTTCCAGACATATGCGAGCGTGGTAGACGAAAACTGTCTTCCAGTCGTTTACGGCAAACAGCATCTCGCTCAGAACATCCCAATCGGGATGCGAATCCCAAGTTACAAGATCTTGAATCAGTCAGATGCACGACCCTGGCACTTACAAGAGCTATTGCCGAGCAACGGTGCTTGGAGAATCCTGGTCTTCGCCGGCAACATCTCGGACCGCGGGCAACTCTCTCGTTATGAGGCACTCGGGAAGTCGCTAAGTAGTGCGGAATCCTTCTACACCAAATTCAACGGCCGCAGCATCCCCGACAACCCTGTTTTCGAGCTTCTCACTATCCACTCTGCACCTCGAAACGAAATTGAGTTGCTCGACCTCCCCGACATATTCCACCCATGCTCGGAGGAGTATGGCTGGGACTACTGTAAAGTCTTTGTCGATGATGTGTCTTACCATGAAGGACATGGAGAGGCATATAAGAATTATGGCATCGACCCACATAGCGGCTGCATGGTTGTTGTCAGGCCTGATCAATATGTGAGTTGGATCGGCGAATTAGAAGATGTGGAAGAAATGGGTAGTTTTTTTGCATCATTCATGTGATCAAATACGTCAGGGGATTAGGCGCAGGGGGGGCCGAAACGGGCCCTCCTCGAAAGAGAAGATAGGACCTCGACAATCGACGACTGGGAGGCTAATCGAGGAGCATTCAAAGAGACGGGGTGAGCGACGTCGGGCATAACACAGCTCGCGTCGTGGCGCTAGACCTTTTGGCCCCTATGAATGGTGAGGCACGGTGATCGCTCACCCGGCTCGCCGCCAAGCGCGTGCCTCGTACACCAGCCTGCTGACCATGTTTGTTGCCACTTCCGACGCATCTGTTGGACCTCCCGGCACATGTCCTTGCACTTCTGCTCGAATCCTGACACCGAGCGCGGGCACCAGTTGGACCATGGTGTCGAGACGCCGATACCCACCGGCCCCCTAGAGATGACCCCTCGCAATCGCAGAGAGAAGGTCTGGTATGTTGTGGCTCGAAAAGATTGTCAAGAGGTGGAAATGTGCGCAGAAGGTGCGACATGCCTCTCTCTGGTTTACACGGTGGGTTTAACGCTAATATATTTATCTTAATAAGATAGAAAGGAAAACTCGTAGTTTATACTTCTCGAAACTCTCTAGATAATGCCCAACGTCAGAGCTGCTTTCTGCTTCACCTGAGTAAACAGGGTGTCTCAGTCACAGATCCTTTATTGCATGAGCTGGGCTAGGAGAGTGCAAGGTATGAACAGTCGAGTAACTGAGAACAGTTGTCGTCAAGCAGATGACACGAAAATTGGCTACGAGAGAGTGTAACTATGAAAGGATAATGAGTGTAGCTATATAGTCGTGAGGTCCGTCCCGAACAGGAAACTGGGAATGGTATGTTGATCCCATTATACCAACATATCAAGTACTTCCTCTTTCGGTAGTCACGTACCGCACGTGATCTAGCCCTGTTCTTGATTCGAGCCTTCGCCGGGCTGCCACAACCAGCAGACCTTCCCTTGGGCATCCCGCCCTCGGGTCGCTTGAAGGCCGCTTCTAACATCTAGGGGATTTTTATCCTCGATGTCAACAGACGGGGAGAGACTACTCTAGATTCAGTGAAAGCTGGCCAATTGCAGGATAGTATGCTTCATCAGTTTAGCGGCTGCTGTAAACATGTGTACGATTTTGACGGGTACTCCTTGCTGGGTTGATTGCTATTGGTGAATATTGACTTTCGGCATTCCGAAATGATCCCGACCACACGGGCTCGACGGGCTGTGGGAAACATTTTGACCACCCCGATAAAGATAATATCAACAGGATTTCCGTTAGGTATTTCAACATCAAGAGGAGAGCTGTCTTCGCAAGATAAGCACCAAGAATAGAAGGCGATGACGCTGACGAAGGAATCTGGACCATTCCAAGCAGAACAACCATTCACGAGACCCACTCCATGGCTTCCGGCAGCAACTCCGAAGATACTCCAGCCTCGAGACTCCCAGTCAGTGTGCATACCCCCGGCGGTGGACGTAACGAGTCTCCTTTACCAGAGTCCGCGCCAACACTTGGCTACCGCTTCAACCACATGATGATCCGGATCCAGGACCCAGAACCCACGCTCAATTTCTACGTCAACCTGATGGGAATGAGAACCGTCTTTGCTATCAACACTGGCCCCATGACCGTGTACTATCTCGGTTATCCTCAGACACCCGAGCACCGCGCAGATCCGGCCACCTTTGCAAATCACGTTGCGCGACACTCCGTCCTGACGCAGACTCTAGGACTGCTGGAGCTCTGCCATTATCATGGATCAGAAAAGGAACCGCACGGGTACATTTCGAGCGGGAATGTCGCGCCGC